CTGTTGCAAAAGGCCACTTGAAAGGCCACCAATGGCAGCTTTTAACGCGAACATCACTTGTTCCCCCCCCCCCCCCCGGCGTTCTTCCCCCCTCAGTTCGCTGATTCTCTTACCATCCTTTCGTTCTTGCTTTGATTTGCTTTGTGTGTGTGTCATTGACCTGCTCCTTCTCAGCGCTTTTTGCGCCACCTTCGTCTCGGCTATTCCTTCCTTGGCGCGGCCCCAGAACAGCGCCAATTCCCTGATGGGTGGGTGGAAATGGGGCAGCGACAACCCTCAGGCTTGCTTAGAAGGTGACTTCTATTTTGACTCTTTTTTTTCGTCATGAGCGTTTTGTCTTAGCAAGCCGTTTTGTCTTAGCAAGCGGTTGGCTCGAGACCCGACGACGATGGGTTTGTCACAGCACACATTGCATGTTTTTTTCTCACGGACAGCGCAGCAGTGCAATAACGGCACAATAACCACACTATGGTCAACCCTTCTTGGCCGAATCGATCCTCTACTCGACACTGCTGTTACCTTGCTCTCTGCCTACATCATCGTGTGTTCATGAATCACTGCTACCGTTTTTAGTGTATCCGCCGAGTTTGCAACCAACCACAATTTTCTCTGCCTACATGGTGTTTTCAACGCTACTATCCCCCTCCCCCCCCCCCCCCCCTCCCCGACTTACAACCAATTCTCCGGAAGAATGGGTGGTCGTTCAACGGAACGGATTGGCGTGCGGTACCCCCGTAGAGGTTCCTGGAGGGACCGACTACGGGGGGGTGGGTTTCGTGGGCAAGGCACCGGCGTACGTTATAGGGTACAAAATTTTCTTCGTCTTTGTCTTCTTGTTCCGCGAGGGGAGGGTGTGGCGAGTGGTGCCCTGGCTACTGGGGACGAAGAGCTTTGAGGACAGCGATCGACGCGGGTTGGAGGGGGGCGGGGAGTGGTAGGAAGAACCCGAATGTGTTTGATGCTACTGTATCGTGTCGATTGCATTTTGATTTTGGCACGAGTCTTGGGTTCTTGGGAAGTTTTGTATGTTGATATTATATTATATTTTCGATGTTAACGACAAGGAAGACGGGAGCGGTAGAACTCATGGAGAGGTTATGAAATGCAAATAGCTCGGCAATCCGAAAGCCATGGACTTGTCGTGCGGGAGGATTCAACGTGAAGAGATGGCGACGAGTGCATGCGGCAGCCCTCGTCTCCCTTGAGGGTAGCATGGAAACGCACGGGGAGCCAAGTACCCGGCGTTTGCCACCGCTCTAGGCGCATGAGGTTCGACTCTCATCGCTGCGCTATCCGGAGCACGTCCACACAATCAATCCGTGTATAACGCACTCAAGTGTATAGAGCCGATCGCAACCGCGGGGGTTGCCAATCGGAAAACATATGCTTTTTCTTATTGATGGTAGAGGCCACACACACCCACAGAGAGCCCTCGTCCTGCCTCCCCATCTCGAGCTACTCCTCCAAACCCGTACTACTACTACTACCCGTACCGTTATAGCCGTTCCCGTTTCCCGTACCCGTACCCGTACCCGTCCCAGATAACTGCGCCAACGTACCCAGGCCGACTCAGTCTCGAAGAGCCCCCGCTACAGGGCCCTTCAATCCACCACGCGTCTTGTTTCTAATGTATTGCATCCCGTTCTCGGGGGGTAGGCTACTCTTAAATAATAGTGTAGTCTATTATCAATATTAGCTCCCTCTCACTGCAGTCAGTCACACCCCAAACTGACGCGCACCGATGAGCGATCCGCACCAACAGCAGTTGTAGTGCAGTCACGAGGAACCCCCGCTACAGGGTCCCCCGAACATGGAGCGGAACTGGACAAATAACAAGTGAAAAACACGAAGACAAACAAACATACATATATCGCAAGGTTGGAAAGGAAAAACTCCATACCCCGCCTTCCAAAATTAAATTCTACTGGTCTGGTAAGATTTCTTATAGAGAAAAGGTAAAAATACTTTGAAAATTAAGTTGTACTGGTCTGGTAAGATTTTGTATTGAGAAAAAGGTAATATACTCGTAAAATAAAATAAAATACTTCAAAGCAACAAGCAGTCAGCAACAATGCTGCATCCTCGTACGCTTAGGATAAATAAAGTGGAATACAGCGAACGCACCAGAGGATTTGGAAAGAGAACTGAATCAACTTTCGCTCCTCCGGACAAAGAGGCGACCGCTGTTTAACGACCGCCTTTCAACGCGCTATCTACCGCTACCGCGCAAAGCCCGAGCTAAACAAGCTCCACAGTTTGAAGCGGCATAAAGCGGAAACAACCCAACCCGACGAGCGAGCACATCATCAGCAATCAATCGCATTCCTTCTTTGCCGCGGCCCTACTCCCTTTCTCTGCAAGTATCGCTCTGGCCATCGTCGTCGTTGTCGTAGTCATACATCC